TTATTGTTATTACCATACAACCTAGGCTGTTAATCTTAACCTCACTATCTGTTTGAATATCAAACATTTTAGGCATAACATCTTAGGCATAATATAGTTATTATTTTACTACAATATTTACTTATTATTTTGCTAATTGTTTAGGCTTCCAATAAAACAATAAATTAGAGAAAATGATGCATTTTCCACATGGATACTATTTTCAACACTCTTCATTTCTTTGTAGAGATCAAATTTTGATTTAGTGATATTTTTCTTCTACCTCAGAAATTTTCCTTAACACTTCTGTGTACAAGTTTACTGGCAGTTAATTTAATCAATTTTTATATTACTAGGTGACATTTTTTTTCTAATACTTTAAAAATACTGCTTCAATATTTTCTAGTTTATGTAGTTTCTGAAAAATATCTGTTGCCATTTCTAATTTTGACTTTTTTGGTACCTAAAATGGCTTTTTCCCCCTTTACTATCTTTAGAGTTTTTTTTAAAAGAGTGCAAAATGATAAAACAAAAACATTAGAAACAATACAAAGTTTCATTGAGCAGCATATAAGAACTTGACAGTGGTTGTTGTATAACATAATGTTATCTTCAAGTTAGTTGTTTAGGTTACCAGATATAATCCTCATAAAATGGCAAAAAAAGTTATAAGAAATTAAAAAGAAGAAAAAAAATTGAAAGCATTAACTAATCCTTTCAATAGACCAGTAAAAATCAGCAGTACAATTATGCAAACTCTCCTGCATATATACAGGAATGTGTCTTCTCCTTCCTTTGTTTTGTCCTGTCCCTCATCCCAGGTTTTCCTTCCCAGTGAACAGATTCTCCCCCTCATAGGATCTGTTGTACCTTTCGGATTTTATTTACTCTTTCAGGTCTCACACTAGTGAGGCAGTATGATGTTTGTACATGCTGGCCTGATTTATTTCACTTATTACAGGTTTTTTAGAGCACTTTAAAAAATCACTGGCCTTTAGCAGCTCTATTGTCATGGTTTTTTTTTTCTACAGTTTTATTGATAAACAGCAATGAGACAGTTTCAAATCAAATCGGAAGTATGTCATGTTTGTTGGTGCGCCTTTTAAGAATACTTATTCTGCCTTTTTTTTTTTTGAGTTTGTTGATATTGTCAGTTACAGTTTGATCAAATTTGGGAATGTTTTGGCTATGATTTTTAAGATTTTCTGTTGCTCCTTTTCTAGAATTGTGGGTCTACATATATAAACAAGTTGATATTATCCCACAGATCACTGAATTTTATTTACTTATTTTGATTCTGGAGATTCAGTCCTGGTTTTATTTTAATTTTTTAAGTCCTTTTCTCCTTTCCTTTCCTTTCCTTTCCTTTCCTTTCCTTTCCTTTCCTTTCCTTTCCTTTCCTTTCCTTTCCTGTCCTGTCCTGTCCTGTCCTGTCCTGTCCT